TACATTTATCGACTTCGCACTCAGATAGAGCTTTATGTTATCGATAGATATCGATAAATTTTATGACTGGAAGGACTAATATCGAAAAACTATGACATATTACTAATAAAAATGTTTGAATAATCAAAATTTCGTTTAGCTGTGTCTTAAACATTTCACTGTGATCCAAACTCTGAGAAAATAACACTTTGTTTTGTTATCGATAAGTTCAATAACTTTTAGGCTTTAATCTGATCCTCCATGCTTGATTTGATTGTTTATATAAATGTTCATTATTTGGATTTACGATCTGTTTATACGCACCACACACACAAACACACACACACACACACACACACACACACACACACACACACACACACACACACACACACACACACACACACATTTACTTACTAGTTTCCATATCCACATCTAAGTGACGTTTGTTTTCCACATCGAGGAGTTCACCATCAGATTCGGTGCCAGAGTCATTCGATTCACGCTGCAAGCATATGAAATGAATTGTTAAAATGATTTGATTCATTTTGTTTTGGTTTTGCTATTTTTTTATTGGTTCATTTGAGTTCATTTTTTTTTTTTGAATGTTGTGCGTTTTGTGCCCACCTTTTTACGCAGAAAATTTTTCGATGCCTTTAATGAATTCTCGCGATTTTTGTGCCTGACAAACTTTATCATGATTTTTTGCTGTGTGCTTTGTTTTATTTATTACACATTCCACACGCACATACGCGCATACAAACACACGCACACACACACACGTTCGTGTTTACGCGACACTGCACCCACAACACAGAAAAACTTACTACGACGACAACGTCGACGTCAGCTGCGGCAGCGACTGCGACGCCCCTCTATCAGCCGCCTTTTGTACGTGTGCGTGTGCGTGTGTGTGTGAGTTCGAGTTCGTTTGGGTGTCCGTGGGGTCCTCTCGCTCTTATTCCTACTACTATTACTACATGCTAGTACTTTTTGTGCTGTTACGTTTTACACTCGTTTTCGGTTTCTATTTATTCGCCATCAGTGTATGGTATTTTTGTTTGTTATTTTTGCGCTTTACTTTGCTTCCTGATTTACGCGAGAGCTCGAATGCGCGCTCACTCACTCGCTCACACACACGCACACGCTCTCTCGCGTGAGAGATGTCTCTTTGCCGTTTGTTCACTGTTGCCGCCTACGCGCGCCTGTTTGGCGCGTGTAAGCGCCGTTTCCTTTTTGTGCAATAATTTCAATCACGTTTCATGCGCGGCGTTTTCTTGTAATCCACACCGCTTTGCACCCACCCACTGCAACAACAGCAAGAACAACAATAAGAAGGTTGCCACTTTACATATATTCGTGCCAAAAGCCGAACCGTACCGTACCGAACCGAACCGAACCGAGCCGAGCGAGCGCGCACCTTTCGCCGTAACTTATACAGCACGAAATTATCGATTTTCGGTCTCGTATTTGCGGAAGCAAAAGTTCTTTAACAGGACCCCACCACACGGCCAGACAGCAGTCGGCGGCAGCGTCGAAAAACAACAGTTATCGCTAATAGTAATGGCTGCCGTTTTTTTTAGTTTGCGCTTTGGCCCATTAATTCGCTTTTTTTTTTGTTTTTCTGCTTTGTCATTTGCTTTGCACAACATTTGCCGTTGCACTTTTATATTAATTTTACTATTTTTTTTTTTTAGCTGCTGCAATTCTCTCTATGGCAGACTTTTCGGCTCGCCGACTTATTACTACTACGTATTACTATCATCACCCGTCACCGGCTAGCGCTGCGCTCAAACTGAAAAATTATGGCCAAAAAATCTCTGCGCTGGCGCTGGAGCTCTGCTCCGGCTGCTGTCGCTGCGCTCTCACTTGCAATTTCTGTACGTCAGTGTGCGTGTGTGTGTGTGCGTGTGTGTGGGAGCTTTTTGCACTGGTTGACTGGCTGGCCTGGTATCGTTGTGTGTGTGAATAGTAAGGCAGGCGAAGTGGGCAAGGGGGGGGGGGGGCAAACATGCGCGCACAACTCGTGCCGCTTCGTGCGCCTTCGACAGGGCTTCGTTTGTGAAAATGCAACGAGTTAGCAGCATGCTCGTAGTACATAGTATTTATGGGCAGAAGAAGCAGCAGCACCAGCAGCAGCAGCAGCAGCGGCGGCCAACTAGGAGCAATGCAATAATAACAACAAAAAGCATAGCGAGAAAAAAAATACCAAAGCGTGCGAAAGTTGATATGAAACAAAAATGATTTTCGAGAAAAATGTGGAAACATGACATGAAAAAAGAGATGGATGACATATTTGATTGACTCTTGCGGCTCGTTGAACACCGTTGTACGTTTCAATCACATTCAATTTGCTTTCAATTTACGCGGAAAATACTACGACCGATGGCTACGTGCTCCACGAGCACAGGCACGCACACACACACAGACATACAGACATACACACAGAGAGACTCACGTGCACACAGACACAGAGTGACAAGTGCAGTGGAGGAGAGCACGACAGTAAAACGTAAACGTCTTTGCAGCCATCGTTTTATCCGGAGCAGAGCTTCGCTCACCTCCCCCGCTGCTTGGACCACGTTGTCGTCGTCTGACTATCGATTCCGCATTGATGTTGTTGCGTCGCCAAGTACTTTTGTTCCATTCATACTGCGCACACACACACACACACACGCACGCAACGCACACGCATGCACTTATGCACAGCACCTCACGCAGTGAGCGAGCGAGAGAGCGTAAGTTAGTCTGACGTTTGCATATATGCATACGCTGGGTATTGTGGTGTGGGTGTTTTGGCTGTGGGGGGCCGCAAGGCAGCAGCAGCAGCAGCGACTGCGTGTTGCAGCCTTGTTGGTTTCAGGTCTAAATTTAGCACTAGGCTTGCAACTTCGCAAGGATTTTTTTACACTTTTTCATGCACACACACACACACACACAACACATGCATGCACACACGGACAGCTATGCGTGCAACACGCGAAAAGCGTTTGGCGAATGTATCAAAATTTTAACAACTTACTTGAGTCGCTTTTTTTTCACACAATTATGCAGGAGTAGGTTGGGTGGGTTATGGCTGTGTATGTGTGTGTGTGTGCTTGTGGAATGCTCCTGCGAGACGCTTGCGAAACGCGAACCAAAAACTATGATCCGGACTCTGGGCAACAAAACAGCAGCAGGCAGCAGCGAGTGTCGAACGATGAATGGGGCTGCTGCTTTGTACTACAATTCAACAGCGACGGCAGCAGCAGAAGCGCCAGCAGTAGCAGCGGCGGCAACAGCAGCAGCAGCAGCAGCGACAGGCGCTGGTTGGGGTGGTGGGTGTTTGTTGGAGCACGCGACGCGTTTTTGGAGAATTGACAAAACAAGCGCGCAAGCAATAGACAGGGAGGGAGAGAGACAGAGAGAGTGGGAGAGAGCGCGAGGCATTGAGAGAACGTGCCAACGTGCATACATGGCTAGGTATATACAATATGTATGTGTTTACGTTTGTGTGTGTGTGCGTGTGAAATTGTTGCTGTTGTAAGCGCTTTTACGCCAACTACAAAATCCACAACGTTCAGGCCTGGGATGCTGGCGTTGCGCTCTCGCTCTCGCTCTATGTCTCTTTCCCACTCTCTTTCTATTGTGTGTTTGTGCGTGGCTTGCATAAAAGGCAACCCAATAGACATTTCTCTAGACATCTAATGCAATTAACTTTTCAATGTCAAGTCGCGACGCGCACCCCCATACACAGACACACTGACGCACACACACACACACAGCACAGACAGCGTGGCTTTCTATTACATTCCACACTATAAAACGGCACAAGCGACACACTCCCCCCACCGCCAGCTACTTACCTCACCTGCTGCTGTAGTTGGTTAGTTTTGGCTGCACGTCATCCCTTCATCGTAAATGTGTTATTGCTATCGGCTGCGTTGATGATTTGCTTTTCAATTGGCTTCAGTTTGTGGTCTGATATGAATGTTGTCCAAAACGAAAAGCAAGAGTAAGTTGTGGGAGAGTGAGTGGGTGAGAGCACAAGAGTGGGGGCTGTCAAACCAGCTGGGCGACAATGAAAGAGGCAAACAAGAAATGCGAGCGCAGTTTATGACGTCATTAGTGACCCTGCTGGTGAAAATTTGCGAAGCTTGATCAACTGGTATGGATTATGTAGCATTCAGCTTAATGTCGTGCACCACCAGCTAATTTGAAGCAAATTTAAAATGAAAAGGGGAAAAAAGAAATTGTTCGATTTATTATTATTTATACTTTATTTGGCACGCTAAATAATGCAAACCGAACTTCACAATTTAACGGACAGTTTTCAAATGGGGCTCGGCTTGAAACTTGATTAGAAGCAAAATGAAATAAATGTTTATCAAAAGTTTCGCCTTTGCGTTGTTTGCCGTTACTGAAGAGGGTCAATTATGACGTCACGAGCACCAAGTAAACCATCGATAGTTCTTCTTGCATTTGCGATGTATCGATAAGCGATATATCAGCCAACGAGCCAAATTAATCGATATAGAAAAATTTGAACTTGTAACGGATAAAAATGTGCTGCTCGTGTCTGTGATTATCTTTATTATGAATTTAGAAAAGAATCTATAAATAAATTGCATAAATAATAAAAGTATACATGCATTAATCGACTTAACTAAGGTATGCATTTATATAATTAGCTAATACGATTAATAGGTATGCAAGAGTCTACTTAACTAATTAAACAGAACATTTCGTGCACAGAAATCCAAATTTGTTTCTCGCTCTCTTTCTACAATTTTTGCTGTGCACTACGTGAACAATATACAGACAATCAATTAAGCTATGTACATAAATTTAAGGATTTAAATTCTAAAATAATTTGCGGCTCGATAGCAAAAAAAAAATATTGCTAATTTGCCACGCCTACAATTTAATGCATATCAGCTTAAGTCTAAAGTAAATATTACTTATTCTGGCTACATGGTCATCTTTTTTTTTTGTTTTGCTTTTCTTTACAGCTTTTTTGCTAAAAACTAATGTCTTGTTTTTGTTTTTCTTCTGTTTGCAAACAATTTTCCAGTTAAAAAATATGTTTTTTTTTTTAATTTTAATCTCAATTGTGCAGTAGAAACTACCATAACTTGTGCGGATGTGTGGTGGGGTTTTCTTTTCAGTTTTCCTTTTGCCTTTGTCAATTTGCAATCAAGCTGGCTTTGATTACTTCTCGTTCTTGAGCGGCATGCCCTCCTCCTGGGCCACATCGCCGATCTTCTTGCGCTCCGGCGGATTGTTCCAGGACTGCAGCTCGCCGGTGCCCAGGATAACAAAGACGACGGCGGCCGAGATGTAGGTGCCCGCCAAAATCCAGAACACAATTTGCCACTGATGGAACGAGGGCTAAGGGTTGAAGGGATTCAAATATTATTCTGGAGAATATATATATTATATTGAGAGTTGACTCACATTCTTGAAGGTCAGCGCGCCGACCATCCACGTGGACAGAAAGCCGCCAAAGGAGGACAACGAGTTGGCCATGCCGAAAATGGTGCCGCTGAAATTGGGCGCTATGTCCAGGCCATTGCCCAAATAGCCGGCGGTAACGGCGCCATGGGCGAACAGGGCCAGCGTAAAGATCGCCACCGACCAGGTGGCATCCATGCCGAGGAACACCTGAGCCACCATCAGCAGGCCGGGCGTTACGAGCGCTAAAGGGGAGCAGCAAAAAGGATTAGGATGCGGCTTGCATTTACTTTTAGATCAGAGCAAGCTCTTTTTTCAATTCCGCCAATTTTCCACGGCTGCGAGTGAATTTGCCAAAATCACTGCAACTCATATGCATGAGTTTTAAAATTGAGTTTGAAGTTTCTCAAGGAATGCAAGGCATAAAACCTTCGAGGCTCCACTTTCCCTACGTTTGGGGTGGATTTTACGAAAGGCGTGAAACACTTGGAAATGGGCTTGCATTCGAAACCACGCCCACCTAAAGCCATTCTCACCACGGGGCGTGGTGGATTTAACGAAAAGTGTGAGACTCGTCTCAAATGAATTTAAGCCGAGTTCGAATCCGAAACTTCGCCTAATTTTCGGTCTGCGTTCTTTCCACGGCAGGGTGAATACTACGAAAAGGGTGAAACTACATTATTTAAGTAAAAAAAATGTAAGGCCCATTCTGCGCCTAGCTAGAGTCGATTTTACAAAAGGGGGCTTGTAAGAGACTTTGAATCCGAAATTACGTCCAACTATTTATCGGCCTGGTGGAATTACGAAAAGCGTGAAACACTTGTAAATTAGTTTTGAATCCGAATCCACATAATCTCCTGCATTTTCACCACAGATACATGGATTTTAGGAAAAGGGTGAATATATAAAAATCTTGGCTAATGCGCTTGAGGTTAATTGGAATATAAACAAATCAAATTGTGTGTGCAAACCTTTTCCGCTTATTTTCCGCACTTGCGGGTGGAATTAGCCAAAAACCTAACTACAATAGGAATGTCAGCTTCCTAGCTTTTAGGGCCTTGGGCTTTATGTTGATCAACAATCAGTCAATCAGTCAGTCAGTCAATCAGTTAGGATTTGAAATGTAAAACCTACCGAATGTGGTAAACAGCTTGCGCGTTGCCGTGGTGCTCAATGTGCCCTTCTGGCGCAGATGATCCGCCAGATAGGAGGAGGCCACGGCCATCACATATTTGCCCAGATAGGGCAGCGACGAGAACAGGCCGTTCTGTTAGGGAGAACAAAACAAAGCTTAGCAACAAAACGCAAAAGCGCAGGCAATAAAAAAGACTCACCTTCTTGATGTCAAAGTGCAGTATCTTGGACATGAACGTGGGCAGCTGATTGATGACCGTGAAGAAACCAAACACGGACAGTCCGTGCGTTATGATTATAGCCCAAACGGCCGGCGAGCAGAGCAACTGGCCCCAGGGCACGTAGCTGGGTCGCTTCTTTGAGGTGGATGTGCCGATGGCCTCCTCGATCTCGCGTCGCTCCTCGGCCGAGATTCTCGGATGCGTCGCGGGCGTCTCATAGACAAACGTGAACCAGCACAGCGACCAGAGCAGCCCAATGGCGCCCGTCAAATAGAAGACACTGGCCCAGCCGCAGACCGAGATCAGGTAGCCGGAAACGGGCATCGTTATGGCAGCGCCCAGCGAAGAGGCTGCAAATTGAGAGAAAGCGAAAGAATTGGTGTTAAAAATTAGATTGGAATAAGACTTGATGAATGGAATACTTAGGGGACTAAGGTTAAACATGAGCCAGATCTATAAACAGGCTCAAGCGTGCTTCTTCCCCTTTGCCCCATACTTTGTATGGGAAATGCAGACTTGATTAACTCGGGTAATCAGAGTCTGATCTTTGTGAGATGTTCAGGGATTAGTTAAGGCACACTCAAGTGTGTGTATGCCAAAGCTCAAGGTTCTATCATTAAATATAACTTTTTAGCCCGATTTATCTTGGGAATGGGAGGAGCTACACAAAATGTGAAATGGGTTAAGTCTGGGTAAGCTATGCGAGAAGCTACATACCAAGTTTGGAGCAACTAACTCTTATAATTCTCGAGTTATGCTCGGGAAACCATTTCAGAAAATCGATATTTATCGATATTTCGTAAATGGGATAAGATATCGCCAAGAAATAACAGACTGCTGTTGCGTACTCGTGCACTTTCTGAGATCAATGCGAACAGACAGACAGAAATTTCCCACATAGATATGGCCCATTTCCTTCTTTCCCTTCCAACTTTTCCAAGCTACTCACCCATCATGTTGGACATGAACTTGGAGCGATCCATGGGCGGTATCCAGACAGCGGCAACGGGATGTATGGCCGGCCAGGAGGCGCCCAGCATGAAGCCGAGTGCCACACGCACGACAATCAGCATGATGTAGCTCAGGTGCGCAGCGAGGGGCGTGATCAGGGTCAAGAGACTGGCCCACAACATGGAATGTCCAAAGACGCGACGACCGCCAATCAGTTCGGCGAGTCGACCGCCGGGCAGTTCGGTGAGCACATAGCCCCAGAAGAAACAGCCCAACACAAAGTTCGTCTGGTATGTGTCCCAGGGGAAGCGCTCCTCGTACACATCGACACCGTCTGTGCCGTTGGTCAGGATGCCGCCGGCGGGTGCCAGGCTCGAGGTGCTATTCCCCGCCAGACTCTCATTCCCCGCCGCCATGTTTGCTGTGATATTTGGCATAACCATGTCCACGATGGCAATCGTCAGGTTCACTGGAGTGGAGAAATAAAAGCAAATAAATCAAATGACCATATGGACATATGCTTTATCCGGGGCACTTACCTCGCAGGGCATAGTTCAGCATAAAGCCGAGCATTGTCAGCAGATTCAGGACTTGGCGACATGATAGCAGATCTGCAAGAGCCAAAAATAGTTCAGAGATTAGAAGAAGTCCACTTCATAATTATAAGATTATTTAAAGATTTTATATGAAGCACGCACAGCAGAACATTTTGTGTTAGCTCACGAACTAGTTCGCAGAGCGCGTCAATGTGTGAATTATTGCTTGGCAACAGTGCTGCCAATCAATTTGAGAGTTGCGCAAAGTGCTGCCAGTTAATTGAGAGCTTGAAAAAGTGCTGCCACTTGCTTAAAAATCTGGCCTACTCTCACATATAGACAGTTAATCAATTAAAAAGCTAACCAAGGTGCTGCCAATCTTTAAAAAGTAAAGCCTGTTCATGCTTGTGAAAGTTAATCAATTGAAGATTTAAACAAAGTGCAGCAAAGCATTAAAAAATAATGGTCAGTTCCACATATGAACTGTCAATCAAGTTCGGATTGGTTTCAGACTTTGCAAAAAGTGCTGCCAATCATTTGAAACCTATGCCCGTATGTGAACGGCAAATCAATTCAAGAGTTGTCCAAAGTGCTGCCAATTTATTTAAAGCTTTAATAAGTGCTGCCACTCGATTAAAATTATGGCCTACTCTCACATGTGAATTGTTAATCAATGAAAGAGTTGACCAAAGTGCTGCCAATTTATTTCAAGCTTTAATAAGTGCTGCCACTCGATTAAAATGATGGCCTACTCTCACATGTGAACTGTTAATCAATGAAAGAGTTGTCCAAAGTGCTGCCAATTTATTTTTAGCTAGAAAAAAGTGCTGCCACTCGTTAAGCCTTCCTCCACATATGCGGTGCTTAATCAAGCTAGCTTCCAAATAAAGAGATCTTTACTCAGATTTTAGTTATATTGAGGTATTTCACAAGAGCTCTGAAAAAAACCCCATAAAATTATAAAAGACAACTTTCGATCGGTCTGACTATCATCAAAATAAGTACAACAAATGAATGCGTTGTGTTTTGACATGGTCGCGCGCGTGTATGGAATATTCCTAGAGAATAAATCAGGCTGATAAGGAATGGGCCGAGGAGATCTGAACAAATCGCGGATCGGAAGTTCGTTTTCGAGCAATCAGGAACCGGTTCGAACCGCTTGACAATTCATTTGAACCAGTTTTGCAAAGACAACTCAAAATCTGGCATCCACCTGAAAACTATCGAGGGGCTTTTTTCTGTAAACCTGATGTAATATGTTGTTTTTATTGCATGTCTCTCGCGATAAGCGCATTTATTAACTTTATTAACGATGCGATAAAACTCATTAACAAACTAACTGTCAATATTTGACCTCAATACAATGAGAATATTAACAACGACAACGGAATTGCACATCAATTTGATTTGCCCGATGTGGCGCAGCTCATGCCCAAAACGAAAGAAGAGCTCTTAAATTACAAGATAAATCGAATTCCACGAACAAAATTTAAAGGCAACATTGTCATGGCAAACACATTTAACATGACGATTATTTAACATGATGATGACTGTCAACTGCAGAGCTCGCATCAAATGTGTTCATTAAGCGAATCAACTTATTTCCTTCTTTCTTTCTCTGAGCTCCTCGTTAGTTATTGAAGATTAAAGAGCCAAAGTGCATTGAATTGAGGATGGTGCAAAAATGCGGAATGCCGATTCGTAATCAACAAGCAGAAATGCTTTATGGTTGATGTTAACGAAGCTTGAATACCCTTTAATTTGGTTTGATATTACATTTTCTTTTTTTTGGGGCGGGTTTGTGCCCTAAACTAAGAGGCTAAGATAGAGAAAAAGGTTGGTTTTGTAATAAACAAGTCGAAGCTGGAATACCCTAGATTGGTATGATATTAGCTATTTTGGCTTCCAACTTGACAAGAGGTTTGAACCACAGAATTCGAGGCTTACGCTAAGAAGGAGGAAGGTAATTTCGTAATGTTGACGACGCTTGAATACCCTACATTGTGTATGATATGATATATTTAACAACTAAATGAGGGATTTGAGCCCTAGACTAGAAACACTCTGAAATAGGCAAAACTTTCTATAACATATATATAAATATATTATTATAAAAAAATATCGATTCTTTGCAGTTTTTTTTAGCAATATCCCAAGCTCTGAGAAACTCTCCGCAGCGAATTTCTTTAAAGCGTTACATTTTTCCTTTAGAGAACTAAATGCCCGCTGGCAGGGTATACTATATAAAAACTGCATTCATTTGGAATGCCATTGAACTCTCCAACTGCAATTTGCGACAGTTGCGCGTGTGCATAAATTTTGTTAAACATATTTTTTTTGAGCAGTTTTTTTAAACACATTTTTTGAGCACTTTTTTAAAGCTGATGCCAGGCAATAAAAGCGGCAAAGCGAAGCGAGAAAGCGGCCACTTGACGTTATCAATGGGGGCCACGCCCCCCTCCACCGCCCTTTTTGGCAGCACTTGGCCAGGCTTATCACACGGCACGTCTGGCGGCTGTCTAGCCTGGCCACGCCCAAATGCTTCGCACTGTTAATCAAATGCAAACGCATGCACACACATTGAGATACGCGTGTGTATCTGAAAGATACAATTGGCAGGCATATTCAAATAAGTCGCAGCACAGAAACTCGCTACGATTCCCACAATTTCCATAAATATTCCGTGTCTGTGCAGCGTCTATCTGATGCCAGAAGTCCCCTAGCCCCGTGAGTCTCAAAAATGTCATATGCTAATGCGCTCAGAAATTGCAACCTGTTTTTTTTTTTCCCCCTATACTCCCGCGACGACCTTCATAATATATCTTTTGCTCTCATCTATTTTCGAGTTATGTAGCTAAAACTTTTTCCAAATTCCCAAAAGCCGTTTTTAATACTTTGGCTTTAATTGGCTTAGCATGAATTGCTTGATGGCAGCTGAACGTCATGGAAAACTTTGAATGCAAAAAAAAAAAAAAACAAAAAAATTCTACTATTCATAATTTCTTTCTATTTTTTTGTTTTGTTTTATGACACTTTAAATCAATGCTAAGTGAGCGTGTCTCTGGAAATGCTCATTGATAGACTCCGATAAGAGCACGATTCCCGTCGCAGTTTATTTATAGCAAGAGATTTACAATAGCTATAAATAATGCGAGTATGGAACGTCTAGACCGGAAATAACCCGAATTGAAATGCTTGAAATAATTCTGAGATAAGCTTAAATATTTATGCAAATTATTTATAGATACAAATAATTGAAATGTTAATTTATTAAAGCGCAAAATTGATTCATTTTTACCAGCTCAAAAAAACAGCTCAACCAAAAAGCAAAGCGAACTAGATTTTAAGCAATACGATTTTTAGTTTTATGTAAAATTTTGTCAAATTTAAAATGAACTTTTTGTATCTATAAGATGTGAGTTTTGGGCTACGAGCTTCACAAACTGAAGCTCCAGAGAAAAAAGTACCAGGGCTGCAAGCGCAAACAAAATACGTGTTTCGTGGTTCCAAAATGACTTCCCTGGAATTTCAATGCATTTTTATTGAACCCAAATGCAAACTGAACCACATATTATTAGTTTGAAAATGTCTTGGCTTAAAATAAAGTGTAAAACTATAAATTTATTTTGGTTTTAGTGACATGTGAAAATATATAATATATGAGCTTGGGAATGTGAAAGATTAAGTTCATGAGTTTAACAATAAATACCAGGGCTGCAAGCACAAACAATATAAGGCGAACCGCAAAGGAATCTTAGTTAAAATATAGTTTGTTTACAATAAAAAGTGCATGTGCTCTAAGTTACGGAATGTGGAACACAAGGTTCACGAGGTTCCGGTTCAGGTTCCGAGAGAACTTTTGATTCTTTTGCAAAAATCGCATACTTTTCTATTAAACTTAGCACAACATATCAAAAAATATGCTTAACAAATAGAAAATTACTTTATTTAAAATGTCAATTGCGAGTTTCGGAATGTGGAATCAGAGGTTCACGAACTGAATCCATCAAGCAGTAAACTGCTTTGAACCGTGAACTGAACCACAGCGCATCTCTCTTGTTGTCGCTTGCAGCCCTGGTTTTAATTACAACAAAATTCGTTGCTTTTTCAAAAATCATGCACTTTGTTAAAATCGCAACACAAATTGTATTTGGCTGAGAAGGGTGTTTGTACGGACTCAGCTTTGACTCATCCCCAGAATTGTTAACGCCTTCCAAGAATACTCAAAGTTGTCGGCCTTTGAGCAAGTTTTGTATTTATTTGTTGTACTTTTTGATTAATTGTCGCTGAAAACGTTTTTGTGTTTTGTATCCAGATGAAAACAAGCTCCATACCGGCCAGAACCAAATATTTTTTATGCGCTTCAAGCGAAGGCTGAACTTTGTGTTTTACAAAAAAAAAAAAACCGGCTACAAATAAAACAAACCGAAATTTAAGTCAAAAAATGATCGACTAATTTGCAGCCAACTTGAAAAAGAGACAAACAAATAAAAAGTAAACAATTTAAAAAATTAAAATGAAGCGAATGCACTTTAGCATTTATTAGCTTTCGTTTTTGAGCCAGACGCAAATTGACAAAAAAAAAAAAAAGGAAACAATTGAGTTTGTTTAAACAGAAAAAATAAATGAATTAAATACGAATCCAGTTTTTCAAAACTAAAAGCATAAAATGCTCATAAAAAAAGTTAAATAAAATGCTCAAAAATAGCCACAAACAAGCAAGAGGTTCCAGTCGGGAGCTGCCGACTAGGCGATACCCTGTACCCTCTTCTTTCAACATCAAATGCATATATATACTCTCTTTTAGAAGCTACATCTCAAGTTTGGTGACTCTAGCTCTTATTATTTAACAAAATTGGCCAAAAAACTGGATATCGATATCGATTTTTATCGATTGCTTGGAAACGGAGCAAGTTATCGATTATCGGAAACAAACTCGATCTGCGCGGGAACTTGGAGCATCTACATCTAGTCTCTGGCTCTTATAGGTTCTGAGATCCTTGCGTTCATACATACGGACGGACGGACATGGCTAGATCGACTCGGCTATTGATGCTGATCAAGAATATATATAC